CATAATGCATTTAAAAATGGGAGGACATCCCAAAACTCTCGACAATTCTGGATGGGTACCTGAGCTAAGGGTGGGAGCTGAGAGGGCGAGGAGGGGAAAAGGTGACTGAAAACACAGTCAAAGAGGTATGCTTTGAGACGTACCTTGAAAGAGGGGAGCGAGTGGGGGGGTGGGAGTAAGTTGGCAGGACCTGGGAATGGAGTTCCAGATCGTGGTTGAAAGCCAGCCCACCAATTGTGGGTTGAATAGAGTGGGGGAAGTGGAATAGGCTTGTGTCAGCTGAGCGAAGGGAATGGTCGGGTTGGTAAGGGTGAAGGAGGTTCAGAGGTAGGGTGGGGCAAGACCGTAGAGGGCTTTAGAAAGATAGTAAACAGTCTGCACAATTCAAAAATAAATGGGAACCTTAAAGTCTCTTCATTGCCAATTTCCATATAGATTAATGCAGACAATACTGTCACAAATCAGTGCTCAATAATAATCCCTACATTTGATATATAGCACTCCATTATGTCATTAAAACAGCTCAAAGCACGTCACAGGATCTACTGTTCAGTGCAGTGACCGTGTATTACTTGTATTGAAGAGTTCACTAAACACCTCTTAGAACGGGAACAGAATCTTGGATTTAATGCACGCATGTCTCAAATGATATAATACTAATATCCCAAATAATATGTATCCTGCTGTATATACAGACAATCGGAAAAATCTAGTTCATGGAGTTACTACAAAAGTAAATGATCGCCTAATGTAAAATGTTATCATTAAATACAGCAGCATGTAATAAAGTGCAAAATAATGGTTCTAAATCCCCAGTGGGCCACAGCCTGCGTACTGTATCATAGCTGTTAATAGTTGGACTCAGATCAAGTACATTTGACAGTACTCCAGGCATTTTGCAAGGATGATCTTATGTTTGCAAAAAATTGTAATATACGGTCAAACCCTGAGTGAATGTTTAAAAGAAGTTATAAGCATTTCTTGTGTTAAAGCATATAGTTCTAAAATATGATTCACACACTTAAATGTAAGCACTTTAAATCTTGGACTAATTTAACTATTGCTGATACTGAGACCAGAAGAATGTTTATATCCAACAAGAAAAATGGTTTAACCACATGGAGAGGAGATTCACAACAGCCGAGCACAAGACAAAGCTGCACATTGGGCTGCAATTGTATAACAGATTATTCCCACAGAGATGCAACATCTTATAGCCCTTTATAGAAAAACAACTCCACTGGGCACAAGTGAGAAAGTCAATTCGGAGAAATTCGATCATCTTTCTCCATTTTGATCCAGTAAGTGTGATAACAGCTAAGTCAGTGGCTGGGCTTTCTTAAGTTATCTCAACCTATCCCTCCAAAACCAAAAACAATAATAAATTGGTCATTTTCAATCTACGACTGTTTGTGGGACATTGCTGTGCGCAATTGGCTGCCGCGCTCGCCCATAAATATACAGTCAATTCACTTTACAGTGTGTTCTGTGAAGCGCTTTGGGACGTCCTCCCGACGTGAAAAGCGCTATATCAAATGCAAGGATTATTATTATTATTATTTCAGACTATGACTAAATAAATAAAAATCTTAAGAGTTGAAGCATTATTTTACACCCTTTTAAGATCTTGAATACTTCAATGAAATCAGCCACATGTCTTCTCTTCCTCAGAGTGAATATCCCCAGATTTTGTAGCCTCTGCTTATAACTCAAGTGTCTAATTCCAGCAACGGTGTTGCTCTTCACTGTATCTCTGACAAGATGTCCCTAATTGTTCACAGTAATTCAGCTTGGGCTCAGCTAATGCTCTGCACATGTTCAGTATCAAGGCTGATTACTCATGCTCTATCCCTTTAACTATTTACACCATAAGATCTTGTCTGCTCTCTTCACTGCTGCCGAACACTGTATTAATGCTTACAGCAATTTATCCTCCAAATCCATCCCCGGAGACGAAAGCTATGTATCTTATGTTCCCACTGTTCATCATCCTTCCACAATCTCATCCCTCTCCCTATTAAATTTACAACTCTTTCTTTCAAATCTTGGAACATTCAACATTTTCCCCAAACAATCCAGAAAAAAGGTAATTTTGTGAATACTCACTCACTTTACACATGAGAAGTACCTTGATGGTACTTTGTACATTGTTGGGCATCTTGAAAATCCCCAATATATAGGGAGGATAAAAACAACATACTGTTTAATCAGACTGAAAGCTGGGGTGCGGAAGCCTCAGTCCAAATTGGGACTCTCTGATCTTGCAGTGGGAAGAGTTATGCTCATACACTAGATTGTGATTTTTTTCTGGTTAACCGGGTGTCTAACACATGTGGAAACCTATCACCATGCTTAACAGCATCCAAACTAAACTGAGAATTCCATGCATCCCATTTACACAAAGAAATTTTGATGTATTGGAATGGAATGGACACTCCCTGAGGTCCTGGAGGGAAGCCAGTGTTTGGACAAATGTGCCTGGTGGCCCTAGAGACTGGAGGCAAGGAATTTGCTATAAAATAATGTTCTTCCATACTTTCAGAAACATTGAAAATACTGAGTGTAAAGTAAGTGCCTACGGATTTTTTTTTGTATTTTAGTTACAAGTAAGCGGGTATGGCTTAGTCGATAACAGTCTTGCCTCTGAGTTAGGTTGTGGTTTCAAACTCCACAACAGGACTTTGAACTCATAGGCTTTGAAGTAGGCTAACACAGATGAGATGTCAAAAAGCCAAGATCTGGTCTGCCTGCAGGTGGACACTGAAGATCCCATGGCATTACTCAAAAAGAGAAGAGTTTCTCCCGATTTCTTAGCCCATAATCTCCCAAATAAAATTGGTCATTCATTTCATCCTTGTTACACTAAATCCTGTGAATTGCTTTGATACATCTTCCTCACATGCAAAGTTGAAATGCAAGGATTATAACATGTGAACCATGAAAACAGTGTAAATATATTGCAGAATTTCTATTGAAAGCATAATAAATAGAAACACAATATGTGCTAGATTTCCTTTGGTAGAGAGTAAACAGAGTGAATTTTAATAAAGAACTACCACCATATCTAATGCTCTTGACAATACATTAATTAACAGTGGGGGTTAATCTTTATAGTAGCCAGAGAGTTTATCAAAATAAGGAATTTACTGTAATATACTTCATTTAAACCGAAAATGAGTTCATGTTAATTATTTGAATAGTTTCTATTTTGCTAAACCATTCTGAATGAAGTGGATCCGAGACTCAAAGTTTGCTTGCTGCTGCAATGTTTAGACTGGAGAACACTATGGATAGGTTACAAAATTAACTCTAGCCCGGCTGAATTCTTACACACTGTGATCAAAGTGTAGCCCTCCATATTGCTGTCAATTTAAGCAACTCAGCAGATGGTTGTTAAGAACAACTATGTGAGCCCAGACGTAGGTCAGTATGTAGACAGGCCCACTGCTGTGTGTTGACCCACCACCGCAGACAGTAAAACCAGAAGCCCCACCTCCCCAATCAGATAGCAAGAAATGTAAAGTTATTCCAATAGCGTTTACCTACAGTCTGCCTTAGATTAACAGAATTGTTATCTCAACAATCTCAAACTGCAGCTACTGGTGTGTTTGCGTGCCAATGAATTAAACCACATGTTTCTATGTTTTATATCAGTACCGAAGCAAACACACTCTGCCTGGTCAGAAGTACCTTTTTTTAAAATAATCATTTTAACAAAGTTTTAAACAGCAGATTGCAAAACTTTTCTCCACAGCATCGGTCAGGAATCTTGCTTCTTAGAATGCCCACTTTTAAATAGATTTATTTGTACGGCACGATTTTTAACGCAGTCTTTCATTTTATTAAAATTGCAGCTTACTTATGGCAATGGACCCAAAAGTTATAATAATATGGGTTGAAAAGGTGTGTGTCAGAATAGGGCAGTGTGAATAGAGCTTTGCCAACTGGAAAATCCAATGCCAGATTGATTCCCGTTTTGGCTGCAATGGACTATTGCAGCTGTAATGTCACATCAGCTGCCAGAACAACAACTTGAGGTGACACTCTGCAGGATCCAATGTGCACCATGGTACTACAATCTAATATACAATGAAACTGCTCAGCAACCACTCATTGACAAAATCCATTCCCAAACACTGGTAGACTTGCCCATGCCATTCTTCGAAAGGAAACCTAGCTATACCTATAAGGGTTGTAATCTAGTAACCCAAATTATTGGTAGTTAGTGATGGTTTTCTGATGTTTCAATGATCCCAAACTATACTATTCCAAAGATGCTATTCAATACAAGCAGAAAACATGAGTTTTCAAGTCTAATGCAAAATGTATAGTTTGGGCAATAAAACCTGTTAAATAAGTGTTGACTCACTTTGTAAAAACCTGCATTCCCAGTCACTAGTGTTACTATTTAAAGACCATTTCCTTTTTAGCATCTATTCTTAGAAGCTTAAAATAAAAACTGATAATACATTTGTTGACAAGGCATTCAACATACCTGTGTAAGGATTAGCTTTTATGGGGCTATGCTGTCATTCATTAAAGTATGCAAATACAATTCTCACTGTTTGTAAATACTGCGTCAAGGAGGCAATCGCAGACATACAATGCCATCAGCAATCACATGCACTGGAATTGCTGATGACATTTTTATAAACTGACACAATCATTTTTGGGTGAAAAAATTTGTTGTGGTAAAGCATTGAAGTCTATCACATGGTACGTCAACTGTGATGCAAATCTGTTCCAAAAATTGAAATGCAGTGGATTACATCAATTTTACATTTACACAAGGCCTTTCACGTCTTGAGGATTTCTCAAAGCACTTACCTGTGAGCCCGTACGTGGGGCAGGGAGGGGCTAAGGAAGGAGGAGGGGGAAAGATGACCAATTATTAGCAAAGTAATTTATTCCTGGAAGTAAACTTTGAAATTCCAATCTAGAAAACAAATAGATTCCCCGCCAAGATTGACTAAGCCCCTCTGGATGATTATTTGACTCACCAAACCTTTGCATGTAGAAAGTGCCACTGACGAGTTGCTATGCGATACAAGAGCACCTTGGTAGAAGCAGAGTTCTTCTGGATGATATTGCTGCACAGATTTTATCCCTTCTTTTCCCAGCATCTGAACTGTAAATCCAGGAGCCATCAGGCCAACAGAAGTCCTCAGTTTCAAATGAAAGTCCTGGCCAAAACCACCGACTCTGAAGTAGAGGCTTTCATCCTCCACATTATGTGCTGATCGCTTCTTTCGGTGCTGGTGGGCCAGAGTGTGTGAGATGTATTCACCATTGCTGTCAGCTTCATAGGGAGCCACAATTTGATATTCTGTGGAAGTATAACAGACTTGGTTAGCAGACTGGTCTTGAAGCTCCATTGCCCTGAACAAGTCCATTTGGCTAATATTTAACTGAGGTAATCGACTAACCTCAAAATAATGTTTGCAAAGCATTTGATGTCGAAGTGGTTTGAACTTGGCTGTGTGAGACTAGGGGGTAGAAATTCCCCAGGGTTAATGCCTATTATAGACATGCACCACTGAGGGTGGCTACGCTACAACTTAATGGAAATGTGTGCCTTTGTGTTTCTCTGCACACGATTTACAATTTTCAGGGCTCTAGGGGGGAAAAAAAACATGGACTAAAAAAAATCCCATCTGGCCCATCAAGCCTCCTCTTAACAAAGTCCACACAAAATAAAGGTCACTACACAATAAACCCTGTGAAGTGCTCTGAGACATCCTCCAGAAATGAAAGATGCAGCATCGAACTCAAGGATTATTAAACTAATATACTAAAAATGAGTGCTACTCCAGAATATTAATCCACCTTCTCATCTGTACTGACCACAATGAGACAATATGCCCTCCCCCCCACCAGCAGCATCAAACCTAATGTCTTTTTTTTAAAAAACGAGTTAATCAATGCAGCATGAACTATGTAGTTAGAAGTCCTTTGTACGTATCTACTACTCAGTGTGGGGTGACGGGATGGGGTGGTTGGGGGGAAAGAATAAACGCACACTTTATTTTAAGTTTTCACCGGAGTTATGCAGTTCTGTTCTAAGTCAAGTTGCTTACATCAGCATTGTCTATGGCTATCAAACTTTTAAAGAGCTGGATCGTGTCACCTTCAATCTTCTTTGCTCCAGCTTTTTAAAAAGAATTCTGGGAATCGAACTTCTACTTAGAACTTAAAACTCTCAGGAAGAACTTATACTCAGGCCCCAAGGCTTTAAAATGAGTAATGAGAGATGTGTAACCAGTAATGCCCATAAGACTTCTTTAAATAAAAAAACATTTAAAGTTCACATAATACTATAACAGTAACAAAATGTTATCCATTTACACTATGGATTTATTAAATATAATAATAACCATTGCAGTTGGTACAGCAGCTTTCAGGACAGAAGAAGATCTCAAAGCGCTTCACATTAAACCAAGGTCCCACCAGCCTGCTTGGAAAAACTTCAAAGATCCAATGACTCTTATAAAATAATAATCCTTACATTTGGTAAAAGCCTTTCACATTGAGGACATCTCAAAGCCCTTATTGGCTTCAGACACTGTAATTGTAGGCGAAAGCAGAAGCCAATTTGCACAGAGCAATGTCCCACAAAGAACCATGAAGTGAATGAGGACATGTAACTTAAAAGAATAAAGAGATATTACCTGTCCTATATATTACCATAAAACTTCACTTCCAAATCAACCTTACAGGAGCGGTCATCCAACACCATCCACTGGGACAACAGTTGAAGAAAAATGGCATTGTAAACCAGGTCATCAAAAAAATACGCACAAAATCTGGCCTTCTCCTATGAACAAATCTCAGGGTTGAAATGACAATGATAAATTGTTTAAACATCAGTCTAATGGTATATGATGTTCACTCAATGTGTGGCTTGGTGGTAATGCACTCCAGGGCCTGAGCTGTCCTATATTTATTATTTGTACAGGATTCCGTAGGGCACAAATAACCAAATGTCCTAATTTTACACTATCACGTTAAGTGTGATTGCAGGCTCCCTCAATGATTCAAAGAGTGTTTATCCAGTGAGTAGCTGAGTCATACAGGTTGGAAAGTTCCCAAGTTTGATTTTCAATTGTGCTGAGTTAGCTGATCTCAGCTGGAATTGCATTAGAGGGGTACAACTGTCCTCAGCACCTCTGGTTAGGGAAGCAACAAGCAGCTAAAAAAGTTACTCAAGCTCACTATGCAGCAAGCCATTGCTGGAGTTAAGCATAGTTGAGCACGTTTGGAGTACGAGGCTGGCAAATTTAGATCATTGTCGAGTAGAGGTGGGAAAATTAGGGTAGTCCCATAGAATAGCTGCTGCAAATGCAAATAGACTGAGGAGCTATAACTATTACTCAAATTTGCTTATAAGAAATCAAAGACAATTGAAAATATGCTGGAGGAACAAGAACTGCAAAAGCCAATGTGACAATAGAAGATGATATTGTGGTGGGTTTCCATGTATGTCAGGGACACCTGGGAGGCTAAGGTAGTTGAATCAACATCGCAGGATCAATCATGGATCAATTCTCTGGTTAGATGTTCTCCAACGAGAAAAGTTCTAGATTAACATAATTTGCTATAGACCACCAGGCCAAAGCAAGGAGCATGACTTGGCACTGTATGATAATATTAGCAATGTGTATCAGAAAAAGAAGATAGTACTGAAAGGGGATTTGAATCAGCCCAACATAAACTGGATATTCCCCATGTCCATACAATTTGTAAAGCTTGTAAAAGTAGTGCATGACTGCTTTCTAACTGTGTGTATCAGGGAGACCACAAGGGGCCCTTCGTGACTTAGTTCTAGTCAGTGATCCAGACACTAGTCAGGAAGTGGAAATAGTCGAACAATAGGGGACAGTGACCACAACTCACTAATCTTCAGCTTGACTTGGGAAACAGCACCAACACGTATCCAAACTCAAGCGTAACCAAACTCAGTGTACAACCCAAACGTAACCAAACTCAGGTGTACAACTTCAAATGGCCAAGCTTCAGGGGTATGAGAGCTGAGCTAAGAGACATAGACTGAGAAGCAATACTCAAGGACAAATCAGTTGAGGATAAATGGACATCCCTAAATAACATTATGAAGTGGATTCAGGACAAGTGCAGCTGGGGCAAAAAAACACCAAATATGGATCAATAAAAAAAAGAGATAAAGAAGAAAAGGAAGATTTATAAAACGTAGGGAGAAAGGAATATGTGATCATTGGGCTGAATACAAGACAAAAAGAAGTTAAGAAAGAGATTAGGGAAACCAAGAGAGAACTGGAAAGGGGGCACAGCAACAAATGCCAAACATTGTGTCAATACATTCTTTAAAAATTACAACAGTAAGAACATAAGAACAGTCAGGCAAGATGTTAAAATCCTAAGGGATTTAAGTGGAATTGAAAAATAAAATGAACACGAGGTAGCAAATATATTAAAATCCTATTTCTTAACATTGAAACTTGCACAGCAATAATGGTCACTTAGATAAGGCTCTCTCGGGATCCCAGCAACTGTGGAAGTGTGTAAAAAAAACATACATTTGATATAATCTTGTCACCTCATCAAGATGTCTCAAAGCACTTCACAGTATTTTACTGTGAAACAAAGTGATTGTGTTATGTGTTATTTGTAATCATATAGAGATGACATTACAAATGCTCTTAATGATGATTGACCACCAATAAAGTTTTATTAACTCTAGAAATTAAAAGTGGGTGTAATTCCATCTGTACACATGGTTTACACATGGCACATACTAGACCTTGTAGGATAGGCAAGGTAAATGGTATCCAGCTGATGGAGCATTTTATTGTTTTTTTAAAAATATTCAGACAAAAATATTTTCAGGCACTGCTACTCTTTTAACGATTCTCCCTTGTACATATATAAACAATACATAAAATGTTTTTTTTTCCCCCTCCTCAAACATTCCCCCCTCTCATTCCTGACTCATTATCCCTTTTATTAGTACCATGAGCATCAGTAACTCGCCCAAGTTGTCATCAGTCATATATGAGCCTCGATACTGAGTGTTTTGTAAGGAGTGGGAAGATATGATTGCTAAACTGATCCTGTACCGAGCTGTGTCGGCACACACATTTTCCAATAAAGAAAAGGGGTGGGGGCAGGGGGTCTGGACAGCAATCAGGATGGTTAAGATAATCCACCATCTATAACCACTACCCCAAATTCCTGCCTGAGCTGACATTAACTATCTAAGCAAAAACTGAAAACATTTAGAACTCTACGGGCACAGTGACCAGTGGGTTATTGCAGGTAACATTACGGTTGTAGATTTTGTTGGTGAGTAGAAATAGGATCGCACAGGAGGCTTAGAGTATGATTTAGTCAGTAAATGCATGGCTGACTTCAGAGTAACAATTGTTTTGAAAAGAGTGCAGATGCCACAATGAGTTCCACTATTTTATTTGTAATTGTGCTTTTACTGTGAAATTTAGCTCAGCGCATGAATCAAGACTCAAGTTTCCTAGGATATTTAATCTACAAAATGAATAATTACTGAGCAAAATAATTCCATTCAGCACACTATGTAATGATGCTAAACATGATGAAACCCACCACCTGCTGCCTCGACCCCCTCCCCACCCAATTGCTGATCACCCAGCTCCCCCTCTTCTGCCCACTGCTGGCAGACACTATTAACCAGTCTCTCTCCTCAGGATCAGTCCCACTCCCCTTCAAAACCGCAGTCATCACCCCCCTCCTTAAAAAAAACCTACCCTCGATCCTTCCAACCTCAGCTACTACCGCCCTACCTCAAACCTACCCTTCCTTGCCAAAGCTCTGGAATGCATTGTTGCCAACCAACTTTGCACACACCTCTCCCTCCATACATTACTCAAACCCCTTGAGTTTGGTTTCTGCCCTGCCCACAGTACAGAGACAGCGCTCCTGAAGGTCACAAACAATATCCACTCTATCTGTGACCAGGGCTCCCTCTGTCTTCTCGTCCTTCTGGACCTCTCCGCCTCGTTCGACACAGTCGATCACGCCATCCTCCTCCACCGCTATCCTCCATCATCCACCTCAGTGAGTCTACACTTGCTTGGTTTGAGTCCTACCTTACAAACCGCCAGCACTACATTTCTGTAAATGGCTTTTCTTCTCGCTTCTACCCAGTCGCCTGTGGGTCACACCACGGATTTATCCTTGGCCCTCTTCTCCTCCTCATCTATATGCTCCCTCTCGGTGATGTCACCTGCAGACACGGGGTTAACTTCCATTTTTGCGGATGACACTCAACTCTACTTTTCTACCTCCAGTTGCAACCCCCAGTGCCCTGATGTTCTGTCAGCTTGTCTGTCAGACATCAAGAACTGGATGAGAGCAAGTTTCCTGCAGGTAAACGTCAACAAGATGGAAGCCATACTCTTCGGCTTCTGCCAACGTCTTCTGACCCACGGTTCCGACCACCTCAACCTACCTGACATGTCCTTAAACACGCACCAAACGTTGTACCCAGATTACTCCAGTCCTTGCCAAACTCCACTGGCTCCCTGTCACAAAGCGGATTGACTTTAAGATCCTCACTCTAGTGTTTCAATCCCTCCATCCTTGGCATCCCCCCATCTCTCTAACCTCCTCACTCCCCACAGCAGTACCCGCTGCCTCCGTTCTACTGGGTCCGGCCTCCTTTGCGTCCCCCTAATCCTGTATTCCACAATTGGCGGCTGTGCCTTCAGCCACTACACCTTGAAACTTTGGAACTCCCTCCCTCAACCCCTTTGCCTCGCCCCCTCCTTCCCCATTTTCAAGTCGTGCCTGCAGATCTTCTTTTTCGATCGCACCTACGGTCACCTTAACCCTCTCCGTTGCTCAGCCTCAGGCTCCGCCATTCTAAAGCGCTCTGAGACACTGCCTGGCGTGGAGGGCCTATATAAAGGCAAGTTGTTGTTGATTACTTCACGAATTAATGATGCATTAGGTGATATGCATCATACTCTTTTTTTAAAAAAAACTCATTAACCTTGGTACCTAAATGCATCATTTCCAGAGTATTAGTGAAACATTTCAGTTCTGAAGATTTGACATTCCAACCTTTCCTCACTTCAACACTACAGGGACTATGAAATAATCCAAGCCACCAAATGTGCATACCTGCTTTCATTTTCTATTAGAAAAATGCCTAGTTAATATAATCCTTGCATTTTTTCTGGATGCTGCCCAACAAGAGAATTATAATTAAATACAATTCATAAAAAGCATATTAACTACAAATGATCTTCTGATTTACAGCAGCACAGGGAAAGTTTTAAAAGCCTTTGTTCTCCATGAGAAGTTTCAGTACAATTGTCTGATTTATCACTATTCCATGTTAGGAAAGGAACTTATTGGTCATTTACAGGAAGAATTCTTAATACATATATCAACCCGGTTCAATTGGAAGCACTTGCTTTTCTACGTCAGACAGTTGTGAGTTCAAGGCCCCCATCAGGACAATTAAATATTTTTAGTCAGTCAGCAAAATAACATTTTTTGATTGAATATTTCTTGATTAATATCATAAATAATGTCAAAAACACTTTACCGATCGAACATGGACTTACCTAGACTAGTGCTAATGTTCAGCGGGCAATTTCTTGAAGGCCAGCGGGCCGGAACTAGCCCACTGGCCATAGTTTGGCCAGCACTGATCTAGGTTGATACTCCAATACAGTGCTAGAAGAAACTCTGCATCGTTGGAGGTGCTGTCCTATGGATGAGACATTCAACAGAGATGCCATCCCATTTTCAGATCATTATTAAAGATCCCATGGCACTATTTAAAAAAAGGGAGATTTTCCTGCCCGACAATTCTCCAGATAAATTTGCTATTCACTTCATGGCTGTTTGTGGAGATGTGCTGTGCACAAATTGGCTACAAAATGCACAATCACTACAATAAGTACTGTGAAACCCTTTGAGACATCTCGTCTGACATGAAAGCCACTATATCAAATGCAAAGACTATTATCATAATAACTTTTGTTTTACTAAGAATTATTTGATGCCATAAAAGGATGCATTATATCAGAACTCAACTGATTGACAAGTTGAGGACTCAGCAAAAGTTACAAGTTCACTTATTGTAAAAGGTAACTCACAAGCATACAACCTTTTGATCAAACATAAATCGATGCTATACCTTGCATAAAACTCAATTAAACTTCTGCTTTATGTTAAGAGATTCCACCCATGAACACTGAGGCTTACATTGCTTGGAAGTACCACTTTGTGTTTTGCCCAGTGTCCTAGCCAACAATCCCCCATATTAATGAGTCATCCACCTCATGGTATTCTGTGGAACTGAATACTGCTTACAAAAACAGTCACTACATTTGACAGTAATTATTTGTGAAGTACTTTGAGACATTTCAATCTGATTGAAATGCAAGATCTTTCTTAGTAAAGCTTCTTATGATGTATTTGTTGACATTTTAGCATTCGTAAAATTACAGCAGGACATTTGGCCCAACGTCAATGCCAGTTTATACTCCACATGAGCCTCCATTTCTCCTAATCCCCTCGCCACCTCTATTTCCTTCTCCCGCGTGTATTCATTGTTTCTTCTTAAATACATTGATGTGTTTTGCTTCAACCATAGCTTCGGGCAGCGAGTTCCACATTCTCGACACCCTTTACGTAAAGAAGTTCCTCCTAAACTCACCTCTAGATCTGCTGCTGCCTATCTTATATTTATGACCCCTCATTTTGGACTCACCAATAAGTGGAAACAACCTGTTAACATCCACCTTATAAAATCATTTAATAATTTTAAACACCTATATCAGGATCCCTCTCCATTTTCTTATCTCCAGAGAGAAAAGCTCTAATCTGTCCAATGTTTCCTGATAGCTGTATTTACTTATCTGTGGTAACATCCTAGTAAAATATACTGTCTTCTAGCCAATGCTAGAATATCTTCCCTGTTTTATAGTGACCAGAATTGCCCACATAAATTGAATTAATTGAACTTTTTGAGGAAGTCAGTGTGTAGATGAAGAATAACCTGCACATTTCATTAGAAGGTAAGTTTTTTAAAAAAAACATTCAGCAGCACAAGCAAATTAGGACACAGAGTTTTTTCACTGCAAAACCTTCTTTGCAGCAAGTTTTTCTGTACTCTGGTTCACCCAAATAACATGGCAAGATTTACCCTAACTTCAAAGCATTGCCTGCAAAGTCCACCTACAAACAGTCACTAACTTTACAGAAAACTCTCTGAAGTGCACTGCTGATTCCCGACATAAGACACTGCATCAAATGCAAGGATTATTATTATTATTGCTTGCCCCCACCCCCCCCACGCTCGGGTCCTGATCCCTGACTGTTCAGCGCCTTGGGACGTCCTCGCGACGTGAAAGGCGCTTTACAAATGCAATTTTGTTGTTGTTATTTGAAAGCCTGTGGGTGGTCAATGTGCTTCTTCTCGCTGTGGAGAACGCATATGGGAGTTGGAAGCCATCGCTCAACCTTGCACTCCAGGGACAGCAACAGTGCAGTACATCACATTACAGGGTCCTGTACAGTATGTTTCTGGCTTGGTCTCAGATGCATGTGTACAGCACCCTCTAGCGTTGGAGAGCCCTCTCCCCCTCCTTCCTCTGCACATGATTCTCACAACTTGCTGTCCTCGCAAACCTGTTGCACGACACGAAAAGGCACGACAGGAGCTGGAGCAGCCGCTGCAGTGAGTGAGTGAGTGAGTGAGTGGGACTGACTCACCGCTGCTCTCGTCCACCTCGGGGAACCCCAACCTCGACAAGTGCCGGGCGGTGCTGGCAGGACAGGTCCCACTGGCAAAGTCCTTCTGAAACATACACACACACACACACGCACACAGAGGTTAGAGGAGATGCACATCCCACAACACTTATACACTCCACACTCCCGACAACAAGGTCTTAAGTGCAAACCAGAAACAAACCCATCCAGCAGCCCGCCCGGCAACACCTGGATAGAGAGAGAGAGAAGAGCAGAGCAAGAGAGGCAACACCTGGATAGAGAGAGAGAGAAGGGCAGAGCAAGAGAGGCAACACCTGGAGAGAGAGAGAGAGAAGGGCAGAGCAAGAGAGGCAACACCTGGAGAGAGAGAGAGAGAAGGGCAGAGCAAGAGAGGCAACACCTGGAGAGAGAGAGAGAGAAGGGCAGAGCAAGAGAGGCAACACCTGGAGAGAGAGAGAGAGAAGGGCAGAACAAGAGAGGCAACACCTGGAGAGAGAGAGAGAGAAGGGCAGAGCAAGAGAGGCAACACCTGGAGAGAGAGAGAGAGAAGGGCAGAGCAAGAGAGGCAACACCTGGATAGAGAGAGAGAGAAGGGCAGAGCAAGAGAGGCAACACCTGGATAGAGAGAGAGAGAAGGGCAGAGCAAGAGAGGCAACACCTGGAGAGAGAGAGAGGGGCAGAGCAAGAGAGGCAACACCTGGAGAGAGAGAGAGAAGGGCAGAGCAAGAGAGGCAACACCTGGATAGAGAGAGAGAGAAGGGCAGAGCAAGAGAGGCAACACCTGGATAGAGAGAGAGAGAAGGGCAGAGCAAGAGAGGCAACACCTGGAGAGAGAGAGAGGGGCAGAGCAAGAGAGGCAACACCTGGAGAGAGAGAGAGAAGGGCAGAGCAAGAGAGGCAACACCTGGATAGAGAGAGAGAGAAGGGCAGAGCAAGAGAGGCAACACCTGGAGAGAGAGAGAGAGAGAGAGAGAGAGAGAAGGCGAAGGAAACTTATACAGACAGAGAAACACAGAGAGAATCGATAACAGATACCTGTAGGAGAACTGCGGTCAGCAACACGAGCTGACAGGCGGCGGCTGCTCTCCTCCCCGCCTGGCAGCCACATCCCGCACCCCCCGCACCAGGCATCTCCTCACTGCCAGGCTCAGCACCAGCACCAGCACCAGCACCCACACTGCCAGCTCAGCACCAGCACCCACACTGCCAGCTCAGCACCAGCACCAGCACCCACACTGCCAGGCTCAGCACCAGCACCAGCACCAGCACCCACACTGCACAGCTCAGCTCAGCAGCAGCACCCACACTGCCAGGCTCAGCACCAGCACCAGCACCAGCACCCACACTGCCAGCACCAGCACCCACACTGCACAGCTCAGCTCAGCAGCAGCACCCACACTGCACAGCTCAGCTCAGCAGCAGCACCCACACTGCACAGCCCGGAACAGAGCTGCTCCACTCTCCTTCAAACACCTGAGCAAAGGGTTTGGACTTTTGTTTTCCCTTTTCTTTTAACTTAAACACATGTAATATTTTACTAATGCAACTTCCCGGCTCAGCAGATCACCGCCCCCCACCCCCTGCCCCCCCCCCCCCCACTCTCTCTCCTCCCTCCCTCCCTCCCTCCCTCCCCCCCCTCCCCGCTTTGAAAAAAAAAGACCCTATTAAACAGCCCAAAAAAGTTTGCATTTTTTGGGGGAAAGCAAACAACTCTGAAGGTTTTCTCGCATTGACAGGTACATCAGGAGCTGAACTCCTCCCTCTCTCCCTCTCTCTCTCTCTCTCTCTCCGGTCGGTGTGGCAGTGGCTGTGAATGAAAGCCTCTCTTCTCACTGGGACTGTCACAGCCGCTCTCTCCTCTCCTCTCCTCTCCTCTCCTCACTCCCTCCACTCCACTCCACTCCCTCTCTATCAAAAACTCTCTCCCTCTCTCCAAATGTGCCCCCTATCCGCAGCCGCCGGTTGCAAAGATGAAGGTGCAACTGGTTTGGTTGCTCTGGGCAGGGCTTTGCTGCCCGCCTGGCGATGTCACTGCGCGGCAGGAGAAGTCGGCTCTGTCTGATTCGTGCCTCTTAGAACTGCCTACACCTGGCGGTGCGCTCCCTCCTCCTCCTCCTCCTCCTCCTCCCGCTGCCTCTCCCGCTGCCTCTCCCTCTCCCGCTGCCTCTCCCTCTCCCGCTGCCTCTGCCTCTCCCGCTGCCTCTCCCTCTCCCGCTGCCTCTGCCTCTCCTGCCTCTGCTGCCTCTGCTTTACCCCGTGTTGTGTGTGAGCGGCTCTGCTCTCACCCCCACTCCCAGCACATGTGGCTTTGTGAGTAAATCTTCCAACTTTGCCCCCACCCACTCACTCACTCACTCACCCACTCACTCACTCACTCACCCACTCACTCACTCACTCCCTCACTCACTCCCCCACTCACTCACCCACTCACTCACTCACTCACCCACTCACTCACTCACTCCCCCACTCACCCACTCACTCACCCACTCACTCACTCACTCCCTCACTCACTCCCCCACTCACTCACCCACTCACTCACTCACTCACCCACTCACTCACTCACTCCCTCACTCACTCCCCCACTCACTCACCCACTCACTCACTCACTCACCCACTCACTCACTCACTCCCCCACTCACCCACTCACTCACTCACTCACCCACTCACTCACTCACTCACCCACTCACCCACTCACTCACTCACTCACCCACTCACTCACCCACTCACTCACTCACTCACCCACTCACTCACTCACTCACTCACTCACTCCCCCACTCACCCACTCACTCACTCACTCACTCACCCACTCACTCACTCACTCACCCACTCACTCACTCACTCACTCACTCCCCCACTCACTCACTCACTCCCCCACTCACTCACTCACCCACTCACTCCCTCACTCCACTCACTCACTCACGCACTCACTCACTCACTCACTCCCCCACTCACTCACTCACTCCCTCCCCACTCACTCACTCACTCCCCCACTCACTCACTCACTCACCCACTCACTCACTCACTCACTCCCCCACTCACTCACTCACCCACTCACTCACTCACTCCCCCACTCACTCACTCACTCCCCCACCCACTCACTCACTCACTCCCCCACCCACTCCCCCACTCACTCCCTCACTCACCCACTCACTCACTCACCCACCCACTCACTCACCCACTCACTCACCCACCCACTCACTCACTCACTCACCCACTCACTCACTCACCCACTCACTCACTCACTCACTCCCCCACTCACTCACCCACTCACTCACTCACTCACTCACTCCCCCACTCACTCACTCACTCACTCACTCACTCACTCCCCCACTCACTCAATCACTCCCCCACTCACTCACTCCCCCCTCACTCACTCACTCACTCACTCCCCCACTCACTCACTCCCCCACTCACTCCCTCCCCCACCCACTCACTCACTCCCCCACTCACTTACTCACTCCCCCACTCACTCCCTCCCCCACTCACTCACTCACTCCCCCACTCACTCACTCACTCCCCCACTCCCCCACCCACTCACTCCCCCACTCACTCCCCCACTCACTCACTCCCCCACTCACTCACTCACTCACTCACTCACTCACTCACTCCCCCACTCACTCACTCACTCCCCCACCCACTCACTCACTCACTCACTCCCCCACCCACCCACCCACTCACTCACTCACTCACTCACTCACTCACTCACTCACTCACTCACTCACTCACTCACTCACTCACTCACTCACTCCCCCACCCACTCACTCACTCACTCCCCCACCCACTCACTCACTCACCCACCCACTCACTCACTCACTCACTCCCCCACCCACTCACTCACTCACTCCCCCACCCACTCACTCACTCACTCCCCCACTCACTCCCCCACCCACTCACCCACTCACTCACTCACTCCCCTACCCACTCACTCCTCCCTCCCCACCCACTCACTCACTCACTCCCCTACCCACTCACTCCCTCCCTCCCCCCCCCACCCACTCACTCACTCCCTACCCACTCACTCCCTCCCTCCCCACCCACTCACTCACTCACTCCCCCACCCACTCACTCACTCACTCACTCCCTCCCCCACCCACTCACTCACTCCCCCACCCACTCACTCACTCACTCCCCCCACTCACTCACACAGTGCCGACTGACAGCTCACTCCCACCAATCGCCCAGTGCTGATGCCATCAGCTTGTCATCTGCCCGCCCCGGGGGGGGGGGGGGGGGGGGGGGCTGGGTGGAGGGGGGAGTGGGGGGGGGGCTGGGGGGAGTGGGGCTGGGGGGAGGGGGGTGCTGGGGGAGGGGGGTGCTGGGGGGGAGGGGGGGGTGCTGGGGGGGGAGGGGGGGGCAGGCAAAAGTTTATGTCTCATCCTTAAGTGTATCTATTCTCCCCCCCCCCCCCACCCACCCTCCACCCCCACCCATCGCACAAACATCTTCCTCACCTATGTGCAATAAACCTCATATAAGTTGGATCAGTTGAGACCATGCGTTTAACCATGACTTGTGCAAAGTATGAGCTGTGTCAAACTTGCATTGATTACAAACTCTTGAACGGGATTTAGGCAGATGTACGACTTAGGCAATTGTACAATTTAGTTGGATCCGATTTATGCGAGTGTTACTCTGTCTGCTGTTTCAAACAAATCAGATTGTGCAAATTGTAGAGAACAGGCTAAGGCAGTGTTGTAAAGGATTAAATACACTTTTTACTATCTCCTATTTTCTGACACCATATCAACCGTGTAAACAAAGACACACACTGTAATCCTGTTTCACATGATACAAACAAAATAAACCAGAAAGGTCCTGTGATATGTTTCTGGAATAACAAAGTCACATGTGTGATTTGACCAGTCAAGTTCATGAGTTGTTTAAATAATAAAAATCCTTGCATTTGATATTGCACCTTATCATGCCTTTGAGACGTCTCAAAGCGCTTCACAGAATATACTGTAAATTGAATTGACTGTGTAGTTTATAGGCAAAACACGACAGCCAACTTCACATAGCAGTGTCCCACAAACAGTTGCGGATTGAGTCACCACATTTTTTTAAAAATGGCATGAAAAAGCATTCATTCTTGTAGCATCTTATCACATTGGAATTTCTCAAATTACTTTAGAGTCTAATACAGTGATAGTTTTTGTTGGTAAAAGTGGAAAAAGTTAGGGCGTCAGCAAGGTTCCACAAACAGCCATGAGGTGATAACCACATATTCTAGAGGATAAATACAAGACACATAATTCTCCTGTTTCTTTTCAAATAATAGCAATGTGAGATATTTAACATCCACCTGTAACAGGTTATTAGATTAAAATTGCCCACAAATATACAGTCAATTCACTTTTACAGTATATTCTGTGAAGCGCTTTGAGACGTCTAGAAGATGTGAAAAGCACTATATCAAATGCAAGGAATATTATTATTATTATCTCAGTTGAATGAAGCTACTTACAACAATGTAGATCTTCATTGGTGTTGCTGTAGAGTGTCAGCCTAGGTTACAAGTTCAAATCCCAACATGGAGCTCGGGTGGATGGGAGGAAGGGGAGAGGTAAGCAGGGTTGGCTGTAGAGCTGAACTGGCTCAAAGGTTGGGTGCTTGGCAACTGAATGTCAAAATTAACCCTCTGTGGCAGTTTCAGTAGTACAGTTCCTGAGCCAGGCGGGTTCACAGTACTCCAGGTGATGACAGGTCAACCTGGCTCATTGGCATAACTTGGAAGGGCAGACCAGTCACTGGGGACAGGAATTCTTACGACTGAAATCCTGCAAACCCAACCTCTAAAGGGTAGCGTGCTGCTGGCTGGACAAGCAGCAAGAAGCTTTCCAGGCAGTGCACTCAATGATAAGCTATGTGGTTTCACTGATTAAACTCCAACAGTACTCTAACACACACTCTGGGGACCCCAAGCCTTGGCTCTCACCAACCTGTGCCTGATACCTTAAAGCAATCCGAGATGCTACCCTGTGTGAAGTTCGCTGTAGAAATGCCACTTGTTGTCATAATGCTTTCCCGAATGAGGTCAACAGGGTGATTCCCTCCACATAGAGAGTGTACATGTTCCATTGCAGACACCAGGGACATTTCCCTGTGTAGGTGGCATCCATATGTGGAACTCTTAGTCTGGATTGGATACTCTTAATCATGGTTTCTGCATGTGTTAGAAACCCAGCT